CTTGGCAGTCCCTGCCTCAGTTGCCCATCATCTCGCGTGGTGCACACCAGGGGTGTGTATCAGCATTTATGGTATGCTGAGCACATCTCAGCACTGCTCTGTCCTTGGTCTTGTCCTCCTGAGGGCAACTTTGTAGGGGGTTACCTCATCTTACCCCCCCCTTCGCCCCAGGGGAAGATATCCCTGGCAGCGGGGTGTACTATTTTAGTTCTTCCTCTTTTGGGGAACAGCAAGAAGGACACTGGTGCAGGGACCCAACTTCGGGTGGTGGACACAAGTTGAAGCCCAGCTTCTTGCTCACCTTTCCTGCCAGGACCAGGAGCCCAGAGTCTGGGTCCAGCAGAGGCATCAGAGACCTGGGGAGAGAGGGCCAGTGCGTAGGTAGGATGAGGAGTAAGGGGCACAGGAGCAATTTGTGTCTAAATTGGGACTTAGAAGGAGCCATAGCGACCAGGAGCCACTCAGTCACTCTAGCTGTGTTAGCCTGAGCCCTAGGACCCTCCACCTCTTTTCCCTGTGCTGTCCATATGCCACACACAACCCCACATCCAGCTATCTTGCCCCAAGTGCCCCAGCCATCCACTTGCTTACCTGTAGGACTTGTGCTGGGCCTGTTCACTGAGGACCTCAGGCCCAACTTCAGTAAAGGCTCTTCTGAAGACCCCCACATATATTCTGCTCCTCCCTCAGCCAGCCTAGACATCAGGCCAGCACTGGCACAAAGTAGGGGGCAATGCTAGCCCATTCCCACCCATGCTGCCCGGAGTCTGTGGGGTGCACCCCTGGTGCTCTAGCTTGGTACTAAAGTATGGTGTCACCTGGCCTATCTCCCCTAATGCTTTGCAGTTCCAAGATATCTTAGAGACTAAGATCCCTCTCTGTGCCAACTCAAAGTTCTCACACCCGAGTGTGAGACGGGAGCATGGGCAGAACGGCTCCCACAGCTTCTGGGCTTTCCTGCTGTCTTCAGGTCTGCAGTCCAGGCTGTGCAGGCAGGATGTTCCTGCCCCCTCTGCTCCTGAGGTGGAGGTCACATCAGGAGGACATGGGGGCTGGGACTGCAGAGAGTAGGCTAGAAGCCCTTAGAGCCCTTGTCACTCTGTGGCAGGCTCCGCCTCAGTCAGCTGTCTGCCACTACCACCTCCTTCCCTGCAGGAGCCCCTTTACAGCTCCCCAGGCCTGTGAATTCTGCCTTCCAGCCCCAAGGCATTTGAGAGGGGTGTCCCGGAGAATTTGGAAGGGTGCCTTCTGTTTCTGGTCTTGGTTTCTTGTTATCAGGGACCCTTAGGCTTGGACCTCCAGCCTGACACCTTCAAACAGTTCCCCATCCCTGCGTGGTCCCAATGGTCACAGGTCACTCAGCTGTGGCAGCTGCCTCTATTCGTCACCCAGGCAACAGAAGGCCCAGCCTCCTCATCTCCTGAACACCAGTTGCCTTACCCACTTCTCCCACCCTGCCAGGAGCTACAGAGTGGGCCAGGAAGCTGGGCGGGGCCCCGGGTGCCTCCGCAATTTCCTGGACTCCCCAGAGCTGGTCACTTGTACACAGGCCCCTAATTATGTTTGGCTGACAAGGTGAGCAGGGCTCAGTGTTGCCCTTTTCAACCTGGTCTGACCGCTTCCAGCTGTGGTGGAGGCGGTGAGTGGGAGCAGAGGCGGGTGACCTGGGCATGCCCGTGCTGGGGCTGGTACCAGCAGGGTCAGCATCAGGTCCCCTTCAGTAGCTCCCACTAGTTCATGATCAATTATTCCTTGGATGACCTAATCTGTCCCCAGCCCTCAGCACTGCCTATAGGGGTGACCAGAGATGAGTACAAGAGACCCCATCCCTGTCCTCAAGGGGCTCACAGCCTGGGGCAAGAGGCAGACAGAGACAACCCCACAGTCCAAAACATGAAGGAAAGGCCCTCCGAAGACCTGTAGCACTAGCATGTAGCAGGGTAATTTGGCCTTGGCGGAGTGCCTGGAGAGGGTATTTTCTCTGATTCCAATGTTAGGCAAAAATCGGGTATTTTCTCTGATTCCAGTGTTAGGCAAAAACCAAACACATCACAGAGCAGGAATTCCAGGCAGCAACAGCAGGGTGTGAAAGGTCCTGAGGCAGGTGGGTACAAGGCCTTTTGAGGGATGGAAACCTTGGGGCCTGATTGAGGGTAAGGAGTTATGGCTCAGGCTAGGGTAGGCAAAGCCAGGTGGCACAGGCCTAGTGGCAGGAGGGGAGTTCTGTCGCTAATGAGTTATACGCATCAAAAAGCTGGTAGCATGTTTTAACTGAAGCTGGTTATAGGAACAGGAGTGGGAATAAGGAGGAGTGGGAATAAAAGGTGACAAGCGACTCCCAGACAGAGGCTGAGAACAAACGGGCTCCGGAGGTGCCCCTATGTTACCCCTGCTGCCTAAGCAAGATAGAGGAAGAGGCCTGGGGCTCCACTGGGGCAGTGATGGCTCAGCTATGCTCTAAACCAATCTCCTGAAAAGCCCTGGGCTGGCTTCCCTCATCCTCGCCCTGCTGGCTCCTGCCCACTGACTCAGGACATTGGGGCAGGAAGTCATAGTAGGCAGGGCTGGCTCCTCCAACAGGCCAGGCCAGTCCTCTTCGCCTCAGGCAGAGCCACCTGGGCAGCTCTGCGAGGCAGGAGCATCTTGCTGTCTGCGGTACAGCACTGGCTGGGAAATGGGGCCATAGCACCCAACACCAAGAGTTAGCCAGTGCTGACCTTAGGCCTCATAAAGAGACTGACCTGGGTCTGGATTTAGAATGTAGGTGAGCCCCAACTTGTCAGAAGGCCAGAGGTGGTGCCACCAGTGCCTCTCCTACTTCACAGCCCCTGGGTGTTACCCTGAAGGACTCTGACCCTATCATAGAAGGTCAAGAGCCCAGATCTGTCTTATTCTCCAGCCTAGGTCCCCGAATGATGGCACCAACCGGGTTGAGAGGGGGTCTTGGGTCTCTGATAATGCTACCAGCTCTCTAATGCTCCATGAGAGTACAGGTGGAAGGACTGGAGTGCAAAGCTCTGAGCCTCCTCCTCCAGTTCCCCCCTCCACTTCTCTTTCCTGCTTCAGGCCCCTTTCCACTGTCAGATAGCTTGACATTGCCTCGGTCCAAACCAGACCCTGGGGCCAAGCCTGCCCGTACACGCTGGTTACCCCTCCTCAGAGGGTCTGAGTGGGGTGGCACCTTGAGAGCAGCAAAGAAAGGTTGGGCAAACTGCGGAGGTCTCCTGGAAGCTTCCTCTGGGTTGATGGGGACCAGGGCATGAGATTAGGCAGGGCAAGGGGTCCTTCTCCACCACTGAGAGCTGGCCACAGAAGCAAAGGGCTTCAAGGCTATCAGGAAGTCCTGTTTCTTGGGGAAAATTAGACTAGAGTCTCTTGCACAACCTTCTCCCTCAGGCATCTGGGGATATTCCCAAGAGCCTCAAGAGGACACACAAATCAAGGGAAGAGGCATAGAAACAGTCTGGCCAGAGGCCACACAGCATGGACCGAAAACCCAAGGCCTCCTGAGCCAGTCAGGAAACTCGAGTGAGTGAAGAGCTAGGCATGAAAAAACAGGGAGGTGTAAGGGAAAGGGTGACCCATGAGACCAAGCCTTGGCCAGAGTGGGCAGCTGCCATTCAGCATCAGCTGAGACTTCCTGTTCAAAGCTCACTGGGAAGCCCCATTTTAATGTGCAACCACCTGATTTTTCAGTACTGGCCATGGCTTCAAAGTTTTTAAACTGCCATGCTGGCCAAACAAAACATAGCCAGGCCAGCTCTATCCAGGAACAGAAGAGGTTTATAGCCGTGCCCTACATGCATGACCCAAGAAAGTGTGGGGCACAGAGTCCTGCCTGTCCTGGGGAATGGACCCTGCAGAAGTCAAGGTGACTGTCTCAGCCAGATCCTGCTTGGACCCTGACAACTGGACATAGAAGTCATCTTGTCTCTGGAGGAAGAGTCCTCTAGAGACTACAAAGTCCCCAGCTGGTGTGGCCCTGCTTTTGGGAAGAGCCTTCAGACCCCCAAAGACTCAAACTGGCCCAGCCAAAGAGGCTTTGGCTGGAGGCTGGGCAGAAGGAGATACTGGTGTCCAGGGTTCTCCGGAAGTTAGGCATGACTCTGACCACAAATACAGAGGGGGAGGAGGGCAGAGTACTTTCCTGGAATTCTCCGAGTCTGGGGAATTTTCTGGACCAGTCTCTGGGCCCTTCCTGCCCAATCAAGGACCACTGTCAACCGAAGCCCAGGCTCCAACCACTGTTGTAAGGTTCAGGACCTGAAGCTGTCAAATAAGTAGGGGGCCTTTCCTTCCTGTGTCTCAGGCCTTCCTAACATGTAGGGGGTCCTAAGGCTGCCGTGGCCACCAGCACCTCAAACTCAGTGTTATCTGTTGTATTTAGGAGGCTTTTTTTTTGGTTTTTTTTTGAGACAGGGTCTTGCTTTATAGCCCAAGCTGGCCTTGAACTCGATGTGCTCCTCCTGCTTCAACCTCCCAGTGCTGGGCTTAGGAGGCTCTTTTGAGGGCTTTGTGTGGCCTGCTCAAGAGTTTCTGAAATCGGGATTAGCTACCAACAATAACACATTGAGAAATTTCACCCAAAAATCTGGAGAGTCTTGAAAAATCCTTTCCTCTGGCGTGCTGATCAGGTCATGAGGATTGGGCCCCCCGCCGACCCCCACTGCTCCAGCCCCAGCTCTCCAGGTCTCAACTGATCCTGGGGGCATCTTCTTGCGTTTCTGTCACCTGGCTAGTGTCTCACAGAAACGGGGCTGTTACTCTTGGTATCACTCAACGTTCGCTTGCTTTTTAGGCGAACAGCAGGAACCTGCGCAGTGTCACAGAGCAAACTAGGGGCAGGCAGGGTTTGACTCCTGCCCAGGTCGGGCGGTGGCGGGGTGAGGACTAGGGCAGCGCAGTCCAATGACCCCCGGCAGCAGAGGGGGCGGGTCTCCGACGGCCCCGCCCCAGCCAATGGGCAGCAACCCCGCCCCTACACTCTTAAGGCGCGACCCGCCCACCCCTAGCCGACTCCAGAGCCCAAGCCCGAGGCGGGAGACTAAGACGCCTTCTGGCCCAGACGCGAAGGACTGAAGCGGGGGCCTGCCCGGCCCGGCCCCCTCAGTCATCGCCACAGCCTCCCGGTGAGTATCTGAGGAAGGGGAATGTCTGTCGGTGGGGGCATCAGGGAGGCTGCGTATACTCGTCGCACACACGCACCCTTGCGTGGTCACCTGGGCCCAGCCAGGCAGACGGCCCCTCTATACCCCTTCTCAGCGTCCTGGGGCGCCTCCAGCTCCACGGCTGGCCAGCGTTCGTGTGTGTACACGGCTCACTGGCCGACGAGGTTGCAAGCAGACAAAATAAACACCCCCTCCCTTGCTTCCTCCTCCCACGGCTGGGCCCTCCGGCATGACCAGTTTTATGAATCAAACCCCTTTCAGGGACTGGCCCAGCTGTAGTCTTTGGTTACTTTTCCCTCCGAGGGTCAGACAGTCCAGTCCCCCTGTGCAGACCAGCTGCTTAGGGTTTTTTGGGCCTTGTCACTCATGGCACTGCTGGGGGCTACAGACATGCAGCCCGGGGAAAGAATTTGGGGTGATGGGGGGGAAGGACCTTGGCCTGCTAGGCCCATTAGTGTTCCAGGTGTATCTCTGCTTCTGCCAGGAAAGGGGCTTTGCTTGGGCTTCAAACCCAATGGCCTGGAGCCAGCCTAGTGCTTTGTGTCCCTGGGCTGGCAGCACTGGGGCCTGCTCAGGTCCTCTGTGGTCACTGGCAAGCCAGCTGATTGGTGCCAACCATTCTGCCTCACTCCTGTTTTAACAATTACCACACCAGGCTTCTTGACCCCCTCTCCTGCGGGGGCCCAGAGGTGGAGTCTGCAGGGCAGAAGAGGCCCCAAGAGGCTAGGTGTCCCGTCTGCCTTATGCACCAAGTGAGGGTTCAGAGAAGCGCCAAGACAGAACTCTCTGCTCAGGCCAAGTGCCTCCAGCTCTAGGGACTGGACCAAATCCCAAAGGTCCCTTTCTGCTAGCCTGGGCTCTGGGTGTTGCAGACATAGAGGGGAGGCTGAACTGGTGGCCTCCAAGCGAACTCCATTAGAGTCGGCTCAGTGGACAGTAAAGTCTAGCATGGGCCCAGCTGTTGGCACAGCCCAGCAGAGCAGGGGCAGACGGCTGGGGGGATGGGAGAGCAGTCCCCTGAGTTTACTGACTTCTCCCAAGGGAATCAGCCCCCAGAGCTTCTGTAAACAGAGTGTCAGAGGCAGGAAGAGGGCTCTGGTAATGAGCAGCCCAGCTGGATTCCCTCCAGACCATTATCTAGCCTCTCCTAGTCCAGGGAGCGAGGAAGGACCCAGGAGCATCTGTGCCAGCCTGGGGCCCTGGGCACTGGCTGTCCCACCTCCCCTAGCCTGCTGGAGTGAGGCAGAATGGCTGGCATACTGGAACACCTACCTGAGTGAGACCTGTGGGTCTGGAGGTTCAGGTGGGGGCGGGGTGGGGTGAGGGACTTGTGTCCAGATGACACTATTCTCCCCAGACTCTGGAAGTGGGTGAAAGGAATTCAGCACAAGGAGCCCCTTAGACACTGCCCAGACTGTCTGTGGCAGACAGGGCAGAACACGGCCCACAGTTGTAGCTTCCATTACTGACCGCCCCCCACGCACACACCCACCTGGTGGAGTTGGGACAGGATGCAGGTAAGGATATTTAATCCTTAGTTGGGGATGTGGTAGGTGGTCCCTACCCTTGGGCTACACAGCCCTAGGAACAGGAAAGTGGGATCCCAGCTGGGCCCAGGAGGGGGCTTCCACCTCAGTAGCCCAGCCAGCCAGTCCTCCTCAGTGAGCAGAGAAAGCTGCCCACAGAGGCATCCCTGGCCATTGGTCCTTCTCAGAACCCCTCCCTGGGCTGGGGAGCCCAAGGCTCACTGTTGCCAAGAAAACCAGCTCCCCTCACTGCTATGGAATTTGCATGAGTTCTTGGAGACCGGGAAGGGGGAGGGTGCATGCGTGGGTGTGCAGCTCGGTGTGCGTCTGTCGTGGGCGTGTGTCTCCGCGCGTGACTGCAGGAGGCTGTGTTTCACTCCTGCAGGGGTGCTTCAGGAAAATCTGTGCACTCCGGAGGGCCATAGGCTCAGCCTCCTTCCTTTTATCAGCTTGTACATTCCAGAGTCAGCCGGGTTGCCTTCCCCAACCCCTCAGGCAGGCAGGCAGGCCATAGGCCTCCCCCGCTTTTCCTCATTCCAGCCTCCCAGGGTGTGAGGAGGCCGGAGGAGGCTCCCTGGCCACCTTGGTTTGGGGGGTGGGGGCAGGCAAAGGGCCAGTTCTTGTCAGGGTTGGAGATGGCCCCGCACCAGGCTTCTCTTGGGGAATGCAACAAGCCTCTGACATTCCTGGAGGCTGCCTGAGAGATTTCATTAAGGAGAGAGGAGGGAGCTTTAGCCTGTATTGAGAAGGGGCCTCGTGGGCAGGGGCCCTTCCTGGCCCTGAGCCCCAAGCCACTTGGTAGCTGTGATAGCAGAGAAAGTAGTTAGCTCAGTGACCAGGGCCTACCTTCCCATTAACTAGACTACAGACCCCAAGAAGGGGCCCTTGTGCCACAGGTTGGCCAAAACCCTGGTTACTAGTGGGACTGGTGCTTGGTGGGAGAGTGAGAAGGGCAAGACTCCTTCTGGGGCCATTATGTTCTCAGACCCCTGGGGTCAGGTGACTTGGGGATGGTGGCTTCCCTTGATGACTAGGTGTTCTGGCAAGATCAGGGTTAATTGCAGGGTTAAAGGCTTACTCTATGGATGTTTGACCCAGGGTAGGGACAAGGCGGGGAAGAGGCCTGGTGTCTGGGCCCAGTCCCAGTAATATCACACCTGCCACGTGCCGACAATGGCATTTGGACTGGCCCATTTCTAGTTGGGCGACAGCCACCATATAGCTCCTAGGGCCACAGGTGTTCTTGCCCAACAGGTGGAACCTCTCCTGACTGAGATGGCATGTCCTGCCACCCTGAGGGCTCACTTGAGCCAGGGACTAGTTTTAACCCTGGACTGACAGGTCTGGTAGCTGCCAAGTCACCCACAATGCCACTAAAGACACCCACCTGGGGCCACGCCAACCTCCTTAGGTGCAAGACAGGAGAAGTGCCTAGTTGCCAGCCGGCCTAAAGCTGCTCTCAGACCTAGAACTCCCTTCCTAGATAGGTGGATGAGCTGAGTGTTCTGGTTGTCCCCCTTTGCTATCTTCTGACTGTGCAGAAAACTCACATAGGGAACTTTTCCAAAATACAGCTCTGCCTGGACTTCACTCCCACAAGTTCTTAATTGGTCTTTTTATTGGGTTGGGCCCAGGTTGTCAGGATTTTTTAAAAGCTTCCTAGGTGATCCTGACCTGCACTTAGGTAGAAAAGACCCTGGGGTTACAGATGGAGATGGAAGCTGAGGTGAGGTCACAAATCAGGCAAAAGGAGCAGACTTTGAGGAACTTGAGTCCTCACCCCACTTCCTTTTGTGTGGGGACCTAGGACAAAGGGCCCCCCTGACCTCTCTGCCCTGCTGAACAAGGGGCTGCGGTGTCCCAGGGAAGGGGAGATAGGGCGGACCCAACCCAGGCTGTGAGCCTCCTTGGACACGTCAGTGAAACTGGAGCCAGCTATTCTGGCCGCCGGCACAGTCCCGCCTGCCTGGGGGGTTGGCAGACTCCTGGGGCTGGGCTGCTGCCAGGCCTGGCCGGCAGTTCAGAGCCCAAGCAGGCCAACACCCAGAGCCAGAGGCCCAGAGCCATAGGGTTAGACCCACAGCACCCACCCCCATATCTACTCCTAAGTGCCTGGCACAGGAAAAGGTGTGTGGGTTCTGTCCATCTGTGTGTCTTTCCAAGCTATCCTCCACCCAGCTGGGCTCATGACTTTCCCCAGGAGCATGAGAGGTACCAGCCCCAGGACTGATGTGGTCACCCAGGTACCTAGGTTCTTTCTCACCTACTTACCTGTTCCTGCCCGATGCACAAGTGGGTGCCCACAAGTGTGTTGCACATTCAGGGATGGAGGGGCACTCTGGGTCCCCTGAGAGCTGTGATGACGAATGTCCTTAGTTTTCCTTACTCATAGAGCCCCTCCCAGAGGTCATATGCTGTAGAGAGATGGCCAAAGGACAGCTCACCCCCCACACCCCTTTCCAGAACTCAGGACACCGCACCCCGCTTCCCCACCAGCCTGAGAGTGCAGGGCAGCCTTGCCTCTGCACCCACAGCCTCTGTTGGTATGAAGGTGGAGTAGAGTCCCTCTCTTTGGTGGCCTCCAAGCCCATGAGGCAGACAGGGCTCCAGGTTTATGGGTAACACCCTCAGTAGCTAATGTTTACCAACCGCCTGGCAGGTACCCTAAGTATATACTGAATCCCCTGAGCAGCAGGTGCTATAACCAATAGGGGCTGAAGTAGGTTCGTGCCAGGGGGTTCTGCAGCAGCTGAGAACCCTGGGAGTGAAACCTGGACATTCATCCTGGCTCCTGGACACTACAGAGCCTAGCCCTCTGCATACAGCTTCTGTCTACCACACTACGGCAGAAGTGTCAGCGGGAGGAAGGGGCCCTGGACCTGGCTGTTGCCCCTCTCTACCTCTATCCCCGTAAATCCCAGGGCTGCTCCAGGAGCCTCCCAATAATACCCTTGGCAGAGGAAAAGGTCTTGTGCCCCTGCTGCGGCTCAGTGGATCAGATATCAAAGCAGAGATTCTGCTCCTTTCAGAGCTGCCCTACTCACTGGATAGCGTAGCACAGTGGTCACCCCCATGGGACGCCCCACACACACACTCCCACTTGCACACAGGTCAGCCATGCACCCAGACCCAGACATCAGCATGTGTTAAAAGAACTACCTGTTTAAAAACAAACAAGAGGAAACAACTCTTGAGGATGGGGTGGGGGCAGAGCTACTATGACAGCTGGGTAAGTAACTGAGGGCTTAGTCCACAAAGGCTTGAACCTGGGCCTGAACTTAGTGCTCTACATCATACTGCATCCTTTCCAGGGTAACCCTTTGTCCTCTCAGGTTCCCTACTGGGGCTGCTCAATTTGCTCTTGGTGCCAGAAAGACCCTGGTGGAGCTCCCGGCCACCAGACTGCAGCTTGCAAACTGAGCAGTTTTCCAAAGTCCTAGCATCAGCTGCTGCCTCAGTCTCTTCTTGGTGTGTCAGGATGAGGCAGAGCTCAGGCGAAGGAGCTCACTTCCACATCCTGAGGAATAGGAAGCAAATTAGCTACTGCCTGCCAGTTTCCTTGGCCCAGGACCTGGTCCCTCCTATCCTGACCCAGCCCCTTTCCCCAGCAACTCGGATGTACATTCCATAGCTTGTTACTTACCAACCAGGTGGCCATACTATAGGTACCCACAGTGTCCCTCCCCCCCTGTCTCTTTAGTGATGGTTGATTTAAAGCTCAACAGATTAGGAAGCCCAGAACCCACAGCTGGACCCCCACCTCAGAGCAGAATGAGGAGTACTTCCCCAGCATGTGCTCCAAGCCCCTACTCCGCAAGCATCCTCCTGCACAACCCAGACGGACCAGGACAAAAGTGAAACTGAACTGCTGACTGTGGAACTGCCACTAGTGGCAGCTTGTACACCTCTGAGCACAGGGCTGCCTGTCCATAGCAAGAACTCTTAACCATGACCTCATATGAGACCCACAGGGAGCTGAAAGCAGTGCGGCCAGGCTGGCCACATGGAGGGTCCCCTTCTGCCTGAGCTCTGCCTGGCCCTGCTGGAAGGGATGATTGAGGGCGAGTGACCTCGCTCCCCACGTAGACATGGGGTGGGCATGGGTCACCTGAAGCCCACATCTGGATCCAGGCCCTCTATCACCTTCTCAGTCAGTGAAGGAGGAGCTAGTGGAGTGAGGGGGGAGCTGGGGGTACAACACACTGGCCTTAGGCCATCATGTGCAGACCCCCCACGGTACAGGTGCCAACAGGCTTGTGGATACCTGAGGCCTCATTTGGGTACCTGCTTCATCTGAGGCTTAGGGTGAGGTCCTGCCAGGCAGTTCACTCAGCAGACATACTACCAGGGCTCTGGAGACCATGAAGCAAAGGCAAACAGGGCGGTGTCAGCACGGGCAGGCTCCTAGAGCTCACTATGGAGGGCACGCAGTGGGTCGGGCAGGCTTCCCCAAAGGGCCTCTGAAGGATGTTCATCATTGTCAATGAGTGAGGGGTGGGTTCTAGGTTGGAGACTCCTGGAGGGGGATGACTTCCCTGGCAGGGACACTGCAGGTAGGCAGGGCCTACAGAAGTGACAAGGCCTGTCCCTTCACCTAGAGCTAGCCAATGAATTCCACAGCCGCATGCACCAGAAGGGTAAGCCCATGGATAGGCCCCTTCCCTCCAGCCCAGCGTGGTGGGGCAGAGAAGGCTGGGTGGGGGTCGGGTTACCTTCCTTGGCCACATGGGGGGAGGGAAGGGCCAGACTCTAAGCACAAAAGGCCCTTGTGTGAGCAGCAGGCACCTGGAGGGGGATGGGATAGAGGCCGCTGGGCAGGACTGCCACTTGGGCACAGGCTGCTTAGGGACCTCTAGGATCACCCAGGGTGAAAGTTGTAACTGGACAGCCCCTAGCTCTCCTAGAAGCCTAAGTGGGGTGTAGAGGAAGCTGAACCCATGTTGTCTTGGGCAGTCCCAGTGAGCGCTCCCAGCCCTGGCAGGTGGTTGAAATGTGGGGACCTGCATCTAGAGAGTGTGGCCCCTTCTCTGGGGCAGGCCCCAGGCTACAGCTCAGACTTCCTGGTATCTCCAAGCGCCCCTTTTCCTATTACCCAGCAGCAGGAAGAGTTGCTTCTCCTTGAAGTGACTACTTGGGAAACAGAGGTGGCTGCTGAGGGGGTCCTGGCACATGGGAAGCACTGGCCACTGTCTGGTAGGAGACAGCTGCTGCTCTTCCCTTAGGGCCCAACCCAGAGCAGACCCTGAGAACTGTGGGGGTAGGGTAAGCCTGTGTCACCCATCCAGCTTAGCACAGCCCCTGGGGACCCCTCATCTCTGGCTCTTCATGTTCAAGAGGTCAGGGGATCTGAAGAGGCAGGCTTCCAGCCTCCTGACTGCCCCACCCCACCCCAAGACAAGGGGACACCTGCCAAGGGCTGCAGCCGGCCTCCACCCCTCCTCTACAAACCATCCTGCTGGCCACATCCTGGCGGCCTGCAGCCCCCATCCTGGGCAGGTCTGACTGCACAAGTGGAAAAACACCGATCCCATAGTTTCCATGTGAAGTCTTCCCACTGCGGTCTCTCCTCAGTGTAAGGAGGGAGGGATGCAGAGTGTGGTGCAGGGGCCAGGGCCAGGGGCAGCCAGCTTCTCTGCTTACGCGCTGGGCCTCTTGCCCATCCATCTCTCCCAGACACTACAGGGAGGGGCTGCTGCTTCAGGACCCACAATTCTTCCCTCTTCCCTGTCCACCACAGGCAGCCAGAGGACTTGGCTAGGCGGAGGCAGGAGGCCCCGAGGTTCAGGAGGAAGAAGCTGTCATGGTCACTGAGTGCTCAGTGGTTGTCAGTTCTTGTGCTGGCCTCTGTGCATCAGCCCACTGGGCACTTGTGACAGCCAATGTCATGTGGTGAGGGCGTGACAGGGCGAAGCTAGGAACTGGGCTGGGGGCACTGGGGACCTGACTCACAACTGCTGGGCTCTGCATCTGGGGGCAGAGACTCAAAGAATTCCCTTCTGGCCTTTCCTGGCCATAGCCACCCTCTGAACTCTGACTCAGGTTTCTCTGCTTCCAGGGACGGAAGATGTGCTCCAGGAGTCCCCTGCTGCCACTTCTGCCACTCCTGCTGCTGGTCCTGCGGTCCAGTGTACAGGGCTGCCCATCTGGCTGCCAGTGCAACCAGCCACAGACGGTCTTCTGCACTTCCCGCCAGGGGACCACACTACCCCGAGATGTGCCACCTGACACCACAGGCCTGTATGTCTTTGAGAATGGCATCACCACACTGGATGTGGGCAGTCTGGCTAGCCTGCCAGGACTGCAGCTCCTGGATCTGTCACAGAACCAGATCACTAGCCTCCCCAGTGGCATCTTCCAGCCACTCGCCAATCTCAGCAACCTGGACCTGACTGCCAACAAGCTTCGTGAGATCACCAATGAGACCTTCCGGGGCCTGCAGCGCCTCGAGCGCCTCTACTTGGGAAAGAACCGCATCCACCACATCCAGCCAGGGGCCTTTGATGCCCTCGACCGTCTCCTGGAACTCAAGCTGCAGGACAATGAGCTGCGGGTGCTGCCCCCACTGCGCCTGCCCCGCCTGCTGCTGCTTGACCTCAGCCACAACAGCCTGCCAGTCCTGGACCCCGGCATCCTGGACACCACCAATATGGAGGCCCTGCGGCTGGCTGGTCTGGGGCTGCGGCAGTTGGACGAGGGGCTCTTTGCCCGGCTGCGAAACCTCCATGATCTGGATGTATCTGACAACCAGCTGGAGCACGTGCCCCCTGTGATTCGAAGCTTGCGGAGCCTGACGCGTCTGAGGCTGGCTGGCAACACCCGCATCGCCCAGCTGCGGCCTGAGGACCTGGCCGGCTTAGCCGCTCTGCAGGAGCTGGACCTTAGCAACCTGAGCCTGCAGGCCCTTCCCAGTGACTTCTCGGGCCTCTTTCCCCGCCTGCGGCTCCTGACCGCTGCCCGCAACCCCTTCAATTGTGTGTGCCCTTTGAGCTGGTTTGGCCCCTGGGTGCGTGAGAGCCACATCACACTAGCCAGCCCTGAAGAGACACGCTGCCACTTCCCACCAAAGAATGCTGGCCAACTGCTGCTGGAGCTTGACTATGCTGACTTTGGCTGCCCAGCCACCACTACCACTCCCACAGTGCCTACCACAAGGCCCAAGGTGGAGGAGCCCACACTCTTGCCTTCCAGCTTAGTTCCCACCTGGCTTAGTCCCACAGAACCAGCCACTGAGGCCCCCAGTCCACCACCCACTGCCCCACCAACCATGGGGCCTGCTCCCTGGCCCCAGGACTGCCCGGTTTCCACCTGCCTCAATGGGGGCACTTGTCACCTGGGGGCAAGGCACCACCTGGAGTGCCTTTGCCCTGAGGGCTTCACAGGCCTCTACTGTGAGAGCCACATGGGGCAGGGAACACGGCCCAGCCCCACACCAGATACGCCAGGTCCCCCCCAGCCTCTGCCCCTCGGCATTGAGCCAGTGAGTCCCACTTCCCTGCACGTGGGGCTGCAGCGCTACCTGCAGGGCAATGCCATGCAGCTCAGGAGTCTCCGCCTCACCTACCGCAACCTGTCAGGCCCTGACAAGCGGCTAGTGACCCTGCGGCTGCCCGCCTCGCTTGCAGAGTACACAGTTACCCAACTGAAGCCCAACTCTACCTATTCCATCTGCGTTACGCCCTTGGGCATTGGGCGGGTGCCTGAGGGCAAGGAGGCCTGTGGGGAGGCCCAAACACCCCCGGCTGTCCTCTCTAACCATGCCCCAGTCACCCAGGCCCAAGAAGGCAATCTGCCACTCCTCATTGCACCTGCCCTGGCTGCTGTGCTCCTGGCTGCCCTGGCCGCCATGGGGGCAGCCTACTGTGTGCGGCGCGGACGGGCAGCAGCTGTGGCTCAGGGCAAAGGGCAGGTAGGACCAGGGTCTGGGCCTCTGGAGCTAGAGGGGGTGAAGACCCCCTTGGAGCCAGGCCCCAAGACAACTGAGGGGAGTAGAGAAGCCCAGCCAGATGGGCCTGAGTATGAGGTGCCACTCATGGGCTACCAAGGGCCCAGCCTCCAGGGGGCTCTCCCTGCTAAGCCCTATATCTAAGCCTGGGAGTGATGGGGTAGCTAGAGGGCCAGGCACTCAGCCACCACCCTCCTGCTGCCACATAAGTTCTCAGTACATACCACAGGGACATATGCAGGGTGGGCCTCTGTGACTACAGCCCGAACCTATCCCTCTCTGGGCCTTGGTCTCATCTGTGAGCTACTGCAACCTAGGTGACAAGCTCTAATAGCCATGAGCCTGAGGGACTGAGACACTGGGAGATCAGTGTCTGCCCGTTCTGCGGTGTGCAATCTGGAGTGTGGTGGCCCTGCCGTGTGCTGGTAACACAGGCCAGGGCTCCAGCCCAAAGACCTGGGGGCCAGTGAAGGAAGCCCCCAGAGGGAGCAGGCAGGGACAGCCCTGTAGCTCCAGCCTTGCCCCAGAAGCACAGGAACACAGGAAACTGGAAAGGAAGGTGCCATGGGAACATGTGGATTTGCTTCTGTTGTTTTAGTTTTTTAAAGTATATTTATAAGAGATCCTTTCCCATTTATGCTGGGAAAATGTTTTTCAAACTCAGCGACAAGGACTTTGGTTTTTTAAGACAAATGATGATATGAAGGCTTTTTGTAAGAAAATAAAAGATAAAAGACATGAGTGTTTCTTGGGGTTGGCCTAGGGTAATGCAATGGGTGCAGGAGGATGTAGAGGGCCCGCCCTCTCTGTGGGCAGCTGCGGCTGAGGCACTTCTCTGCCCTGGGCACCAGGCCTGGGCTGTAATGCTACTGCTGAGGCCCCCTTAGGGAAGGGACCAGTCAGGGAAGCTTCACCACAGCCAGGCCTTCTGCTAACAGGAGCCACAGTGCCTGTGTGTGAGGCTGGGAGAGGTGTGCAGCAGATAAGGAGCACACAGGGTTCCCAAGAGAGGTCACGCCCTTCTTGGGCAGGCCTGACAGTCACTTCACCACCTGCCTCCTTCTGGGGGAGAGAGGGCTCCTTTGAGTGTCTCATTCCTGGGTGTCACAGCTAGTTCTAGAGCCAGGTGGACCCCAGAGCTGTCTGGCAGGTTCTAGGCCAGCCAGGTGGTGAGCTTGTTCCCAGCTCCTCCCTGCTGTCTCACTGCCCTCTGCCCAGGACTCAGTTAAGAAATCCCACTTCGCTTCCTGCCCTATGTGTGAAGAAGGGCCCTGGTTGGGGGGAAGCATGCACCTATTGCCAATTGCTAGGGAGGGAAGGGGTGAGCCACAGCTATTAGTGGCAGGCTTAGGACAGGGCCAGAAGGCCAACTCTGGCTTGCAGATGGCACCCGGCTTGGTGGCCCTGTGGTGCCCCCTTAGCCCCTGCACGGGGGATGTGCTCAGGTGCTCCGGAACTCCCCGAGGTAGGAGTGTTTTCCAGGAGGGCTGAAGGTTGAGGTGCGACAGGCAGGGACTGGTATTCCCTGTACCCAGTCCAGGGAGTTTGGGGGCAATAACATACATATAGCACCTTTTCCTGTTATCCCCCAGGGAGTGAAGGGGGAGACAGCCCTGGCTCAATGAAGGGGCCCAGAAAAAGCTGGAGCTCAATTCCCACAGGCCCCAGGGCAGTGTCCTGTGGGCCAACCCCCTGGCCCCCAGCCTTATCCCTGATGGGAAGGAGGCTGCCCAGCCAGGCCCAGGGAGCAGGCCCTGCGGCTCAGGGTGTTGATGTCAGCACCGAGTCAGCCCCAGCCACGCGAGGCTCTGGATTCAATTAGTGGCTGCTGAGGGCTCTGGCACGAGGAGGGAGGTGGCGGGCGGCAGGTCATGCGGGCAGTGGGTGGTGGCAGTGGCCCTGGGTGGGGCCTCTTCCTCCTGAAGTGGAGGCGGCAGCAACCCAGGTGGATTTCCTGTAGGCCTGTGTCCTATTAGGGCAGTGGCCATGGTGAGGCCTCCCCGCTTCCCCATCAGCCCTGTCAAAGGGGCCTTTGTGGGGCTGTGGCTGCTGCAGATACAGTGGCTGCTGAGTAAATGTTTTCGCTACAAAGCAAACCTGGTTGGGTGGCAGGAGACCCGGAGAAAGGAGCCTCCCAGGAGAGGTTTTCAGAGTGTTCCATCTCCAGTGGGGACTAAGCCAAGATGCGGGCCCTACCCAGGATAATCCACTGGTTTCAGGCCAGGGACCAGAGGCAGACATAGGAATGTGCTAGTCCCATCTCTGGGTTCTGACCGCCACAGGCCTGGGCCATGCATGCACCCCTCCCACAGCTAACCAGCCCCTGCACAGAGGAAGAGTAGCACTGCAGAAAGGCGGAGAGGGGCTCGCTCAGATCCCAACCCCTGCTGCCTGCTGAGGCAGGGCAGCCAGCCAAGAAGGAGGGAGTGGGGCACACGAGTACCACCTCTCAGTTCACACCCAGCACAGAACAACTGAAACAGGTATCTCTGCTCTCGCGGACCAGAGTGTAAGTGGCTCCACCAGTCCCTCGCATTATTCCCTTCCCCACCCTGTGCCATGCACGGGGTCTGGCACACAGAAAGTGCCAGGCAACCTTGTTAGAATGACTGTGGATGGCCTGGCTCCCAGGGGCTCTCCTCTGCTCACTGTGGCACACTTCCCTGTAGACACTCCACAAATGGTGGTGAGGAGGGAGATGGGAACCACAACAGCAGCCCCTGCGATGGACGAGGAAGGGGACAGGGAAGGTGCCAGACCCCCGGCCCCTACAGTTCTTAACAGCACACACTGTTCTGCCCAAACCAATATGGAAAATCTGTAAAACAGAAGAATTGAGGGCAGCTGAGCGGACACAGACGCCAACCTGCCCCATGGCTGTGCCCACAGTTGACGCCCTGCACGCTTCCCACCTTCCATCAGTGGGGACTCTGGTTTGCAGAGTGCCCGGGAGGGCAGGAGAGCCGCCACCTTTCAGAACAGCCTGGAGGCTGGCATGCATCCTTGTGCCCACCAACTTCATGGAGGCTGCAGTCCCAGCTCCTTTGCCAAGGGTGTGGGCCTACTGGGGTAAGGGGCCAGGGTGGCGGGAGGGAGGGGCGGGACACTGAACTGCACCCAGCTGGGAGTGATTTGAGCAGCTCCAGTCCTCCCTGGTCCTGCAAGGCTATTCTTAACTGCTGTAATTACAGGGTCAGCCTGGCCAGTGGCACCATGGGGTCTGGGCAGGGGCCGGGCAGGGGCCGGGCAGGGGAGAGGGCCCGTCACGGACAGCGGAGCTCGGGAGGCAGGAAGTGGTGGGAGGAAGAGCACTGAGTGCTGATGCCAGGCCCTTCTCGCCCACAACGCCTCTGCTGGGGGGCTGTAGGGAAGGGGCCAACTGGTGTGGGAAGGCCTGGAGGGTAGGATGCCAGAGCTGGGCCAGAGACGAGGTGGGTGCCAAAATGGAAGTGAAGCATCAAGGCCTGACTGCTCTGATTCCTCCAAGGCAGGGGCACCCCAGCTGACTCCTTTCCTGACCACCCCGCCCCCAGCCAGAGCACAGAAGGAGGCGGACAACCTGGCCTCCGGCAGCCTTGCTGAGTGGGTTCAGCAAAGGCCCCGGGTGTTACTCAGTTTTGCTCTTCTCATCTGTAAAAGTGCCTCACTAGCACCCTCCTTGGGTCTAAGAGGGTGGGATGGAGGTTCTGTCCCCCTAACCCTTCCCTTTCTTTTTGTGGCGGGCTCTGAGCCAGGGAACCTATCAGCAAGGCCTCTTACTGGCACTCAGGTGAGGGCGTTTCTGGAGGGTACAAGGGCGACCCTGCAGTCCTCCTTGTCCCCAGATACACTACCCTTGCTACTCCTGGAGCTTGGGCTGGCCCCTGCCCCTCTATGACTCAGTTTCCTCGGTTGTGAAATGCACGCAAGATGGGGCTGGGTGAGCCATGCTGGCTCTGGCATTCCCCGATCCCTCCCTGAGAGGGCGCAGCCAGCCAGTCTGAGTCACTGCTGAGACCGGCTAAGGCATCAGAACAGAGACCAAGTCCCTGCCTCCTCCCCGACAGATGGCCTGGCCAAGTCTCTGACCCTGCCTGAGCCTCGGTTTCCTCAGCTGTAATGTGAGTAGCTGTGTGGACCAAATGAACTGGTTCCTTGTATGTGTTTGCCACAAGCCTGCTGGTGGCTGGGTCTACAGCCACTGTGGACCAAGACCCTCTCTGCACAAAGCTGCTCAGCTAGGCAGCGACATGGGAGGCGGCACTGAAAGGATCAGATACACCTGGACCTCCCATGCTGCCTAGGCACCAACTCCACATGGGGACAAGCCAGGGATAGCCATGCGGCAGTTACTGAGTGAGCCTCACAAACCTCAGTGGAGTCCAGGCCCACAAGTACCTCCCCACCTGCCCACCTGTCCAGTGTCACCCCATGCCCACGCTGTGTCCACCTCCCCATCACTGCCTCAGGCCTGTGTGGGTCCTGAGGCCACAGGAACAGGCACAGCAAAACCAAGCACGTTCCTGTGCATGGTCACAGCTCCCTCCCCAAATGCCAAAACACATCTGCATGAGCCCTGGGCCATGTGAGGGGTCCCAGGGTTGAGGACTCGCTCTGCTTCCAGGGACCCAAGGTGACAGGGAGCACGTATCTACCCTCTCAGCGCTTCCTGCTGATGAGAGCTGGGGCTCCTGAAGGCCAGTCTCAAACTCACTATGTAGTCCATCTGCTCTCAAACTCAGGGATCCTCCTGCCTCAGCCTCCCAAGTGCTGAGATTACAGGCATGAGTCACCATGCTCAGCTCCACAGGACCAGATTCTTTTGCATGGACCTTGTAGTACAACTCAGGTACCTGTATCCTCAGGTGACCAGCCTTCTACACTGACAGCCTGGGTCAGGAGCCCTTACAGTGGCACTCATGCACTGGGCCTAGACTTGGGACACTGTTCAAGCCCTGGGCCCACAGCCTCCAACCCCAGCATGCCACGTCACCTACCCAGGAGAGGTATCCAGGGTGAAGGAGGCCAGGGCACTGGAGAAAAGTCGGGTGTCCCAGAGTTTCACTTCTCGCTCACGCATCTGTGGGGAGGGGCCGGGAAAAGGCTCAGAGGAACCCAGCCCTCAGCCCTACCCCACAGGCTCCAGGAACCCAGGGCCTGAGGGTGCAGCCTAGTATAGGGCACCTGCCCAGAACAGAAGGGAGTCAAGCCAGGGAGGGGGAATTTGCTTTTGTTTATATCAGGAATCGAACTCAGGGCCTCATGCTTGCCAGGCAGGCACTGTGCCTGGCCAAGAATTTGGATTTTCATGTCCTGCCCCTTTAAAAACTCTTAGGTGACAAGGGACAAGGGGCAGTTCCCTCCTTGGACTATGGTCCCTACGGGGCCACCACAGCGCTCAAGGTCAGGCTTAGCTATTGCAATTGGAATCTGCCAGTTTTCCACAGCCATCAGTCCCCTGGGGTTCTGAGACCCAGATCCACAGCCAGGCCGTATATGGACAGGCCTGGAACTGGCCAGCAGCTCCCCACCTCCTGGTGGCTTCACCCCACCTTCTTGGGGCAGGAGCCCAAAGGGCTAGACACGTCCCCGTCTGGCAGTGCTCCACTCGAGCCAGAGGAACCCTTACCTGGTTGAATCCAGTGGACACAAGGTGCTCCTGGGAGGCTGTCCATGCCACCCGGCTCTCCCTGCTGTTCATGTGGGCCTGGACGCTCTGCAGGAGGCAAGAGATAATGCTGAGTCACCGGGACCCCTACTGGGGGTAAGGCCCCCCAAAGTGGGCTGCAGCTGGAAGCATCTGCCTGAGCACCCACAAAAGGCAAGCGGAGCCAGGTGAGCTTCCCCTAAGAAGCCCCTGTGACTGGCCAGGATGTGAACTTCCCCAGGAGGACCTTCTACATAGACAGGATGACCCTGCCACCACCCTGAAGGCAGGTCTGACCCAAAGTCCACCCTGGCTGGCAGAGTTGGTCTCAGGGTCTCTCCTCCTGAGAGGACTGCCACTGAGGCCAAAGATAGCAGCACGCAGCTGAGTTCCTCGGCCCTGTGTCATGGTTGTGGCCCTACGGCCAAGACCTGTGTGACCCTGGAGACTCCATACCTTTGGGAACCTCATTTCTCTTGCTTACAAACAGGGCTCATGGAGCCCACTCCTGGGAGCTGTCGCAAAGATGAAATGAGAGTACATGTGGAAAGACCAGGCCTTGGGCAAAGCGCCGTGCAAATCACAGGATTAGGAGGATTACCACTGCCTCCTGACGCTGCCAGCAGGCCAGAGGGAGGGCCTGGGGCCGAGCTCCGGGGAACATCCTGGAGATGGCAAAGTGGTGGCCCCTGTGGCCTCCTGGGGTACTAGAACTGCCTGGACAAAGGCTCGTGCCCCCAGGAAGGAGAGGGAAGTTCACATCCCAGGCAGGGGGCCCTGTCCCTTTGGGCCCTGGCAGGGAAAGCCGAGGGGGCCAGAGGAAATGCAAACAGCTCCCTCCCAGTCACCCTGCCCCTTGGAGCCTGAGACAAGGACCCTGTTACCAAAAATAGCTCACCCCAAGTGTGGCCAGCCTCCTCCAAGCTTCCCACGATCTTGGGAATGAATGAGGGAGGGAAGCAGCCTCGAGGAGCTGGCCCAGGGCCCCCTCCCCAGCCCACAGAGGCCGACCCCAGCGTGGGAGAGCACTGGAAATGCTCCGCATCATGTCACTCAAGGGGCTTTTCTCACTGCTCCCTTCCCACTCAGCCACAGCCGCACAGGAAGTCAGGACTAGAGCCTGAGAACTAGGGCTCCCTATGCCTCTCCATGTAAGAGGGGCTGGGGGGTCGTCAAGGCAGGGGTCAGGCACCAGCTAGCCCCACCCTTGATAATCCCAAGTGAGTCAAAGTGTCACTTGGGCTCCTACCCTCTTGTCAATGTCCAAATGTCCCTTGTGTAAGCAGCAAACCAGATGATTCCCAACTGGTCTGTATATCATTCATTCAGTCAACAAACATGTGGGGCTTCCCAAGCCAAGGACTGTGCCAGGAGCTGGCAGTGGGGCTGGGTAGTTCTCAGAGGATCAAGAAGGTAGGTGAGGCAGGGTTGCTCACTCATTTTTTCTCTTACAATATAAACATTCAAGCTGCATACTCCACTAAGACCTAGAAGACACTGCAATGGAAACAAACAAGGTCCCCAAACCATGGATGTACAGACTAGGGAGACAAGCTGGACCAGAGAGGAGTTGCTATGTTGCTACACATTACCGTACGTGGACTGTGGAGAGAAGCAGAGGTCAAGGAAGCAAGCTCCAAGCCAAAACCCTAGCCCTGCTCCTGTGCTCTGTCCCAGGATGAGCCACGCAATGTCACGGTGCCTCCGGCACCCCAATGTAAAAGGCACTGTGGCAAGCCCTCCTCATGGAGGACCGTCTCAAGGGGCCAGCACTTGCAAAGGGCTCAGGACCATGTCTGCCGCATAGCAGATGTGTTCTTAAAAAGGCTGATAATGGTATAACTGGAGCACAACTGAAGTCACTGTAAAGTTCTCATTTGAGCGAGGATGGAGGACCAGCAGGTATGAGCCACACAGGGAGGGAACGAATGGCTGAAAGTCAGGGACTGGAAGCAGAGAGGCCAGTACAGCTGGTGGGCAGGGCAAGGGAGGCAGCCAGGCTAGGCCTGCAGGCCTGAGGTGTGGGGCTGCTGTTGAACATTTTCCACTCAGAGGCACAGGTTAGAGAGGACTGCATCTTGGCCCACATCTCCTGGCTTCCTGTTTTTGGTTTTTTTTCAAGACAGGGTCTCACTATATAGTTCAGGCCTTGGGCTCACTTTGTAGCCCAGGCTGGTCTCGAACTTACAATGATCCTCCTGCCTCAGCCTCCTGAGTGCTAGGATTATAGGCGTGCACCATCACGCCCGCTGGCTTCCTGTTTACACACAGAGAAACCAGGGACCAGGAAGGAGAAACTGCCCTGCCTAGAACTGTCCAGCAACACAGCTGTACCCCGCGAGCTGGGGTCGGTTATTTCAGTCTGCAAAAGAAGGATCTGAGTCTCAGAGGTAAAGATCTGCATAATCACAGGTAGAAGGCAGCAGAGATAGGACTGGGGAGCCAGGACCACCACTGCCCTCCCAGATGCCCTCTGGTTCCAGGCAAGTATCTCCAGACCGGACCACTTCAGGGAGCACCAGGCTTCTGGGCAGAGGGGCTGGTGGGCTCTGAGGATAGGGTGAACATCAGGGAAGCCAATCCCTGCTACGGCCACACCCAACGCTTTGCCTAGGGCCCACAGGAAGCAGAGGGGTCAGCAGGCACCTTTGCTCCTCTAACACAAGATCACTGGAGTGACTTCAAGTTGCAAAGTTGGAGCTGGGCTATGGTGGCACACGCCTGTAATCCCAGCACGCTAGTAGGGTGAGGCAGGAGGATGGCAAGTTCAAGCACTTGTGAGTTAATGAGATACTATCTCAAAATAAAGAAAAATTAAGAAGGGCTGGGGATAAAGCTCAGAGCAAAGGCCCTGGGTTTGATCTCCAGTACCACCACAAAAAAAAAAAAAAAAAAAAAGAACATTCTTTGCTCGGCCCAGTGAGGCTTGAGCCTCTGGGAGGAGAAGCCCTCCCTCCAGGGCTTCAGTCTCAATCTCCTGGGCCCAGGGGAGGCTGCTGCTAGAACCCAAGCATCTGCTACCTGTAAGAACCAGCTCTGCTATTAAGAGACCTCTAGGGAAAGCACTGGGAGGCCGGATTGGTAAATTGCCTTCCAGGGGCAAGGTGGTCCACAGGTTCCGCCAGGAGATGGCTTTTGTCCCCACAGACAACAGGCATCCTGCTCATGAAGGAAGAAGCCCAAAGACAGATCTGTTGCTTCTTAGTCCCTCGACCAAACTCCACCCCATACCTAGCTTCTGGAGGAGAACAGGAGGGGCTACAGTCAAGCACCGCCAGCGGGGGAGCCGCGTGGGGGGGCACATACCCAGCATTCCGGCTGCTGTGCAGCCAAATCCCAGTGGCATAACACTTCCTTGTGGAGCAGGGTGGCTCTAGGGGTAGCCCTGGGCTCCCTCCTAGGGTAAGAGGCCCCGTTCCCAGTGGTGAGATCCCCACCTGGCTGGAAGACCAGGCTCAGTGCTGGGCTCTGGATGCTCATCCTCATGCCCGCCCTGCCTTGTCACAGAGGTGTAGCTCAGGAGGAGCTGGCACCAGCCTAGGAGAGAGGTCCAATGGCTTTCTGGCCCCTTCTCTTCGCCGACCAGGGTGCTGAGGCCTCACCAAACCCTGAGCATCCTTCAGCCTTGGGCTGCTGCTTCCCTGTTCAGGTATGGCTCCACTGGGCTCTGCCTGGTGAGAAGGCAGCAGAGGGCCCTGGGAGGCTCATCCCAGCCTGGCTCTGTTACTGTGCTTTGTGATCCTGGAGCAGTGACAAAAGGCCTGGCCTTTGGGGTACTGGCCTGGACAAAAGAAAGAACCAAAGGGACAACAAAAGTCCTACATGCTAAGTGCCTAGGACATAAGGAATGATCATAAACACAATCTAAAAATAAAAGCCAAGTGTGGTGGTGCATGCCTGTAATCCCAACACTCGGAAGGCTGAGGCAGAAGGATCAAAGCAAGTCTGAGGCCAGCCTGGGCTACAAAGTGAGTTCAAAACTAGCCTGAACTGCATATGAAATCCGTCTCAAAAAGACCTAAATAAATAAATAAATAAATAGATAAATAAAGTAGGGACAGGGCTTGACTCAGTGTCACATAACTGTGGTCCCAGCTACTCAGAAGGGTAAGGCAGGCCAGGTATGGTGGCACACGCCTGTGATCCCAGCATTTGGGAGGCTGAGACATGAGGATTGCTATTAGTTTGAGCCTAGCCTGGGCTACATAGTGAGTTTAAGGTCACCCTAAACTATGTAATGAGACCCTGTCTCAAAAGAAAAAGAAGGCTATGCCAGGCGTGGTGGCGCATGCCTGTAATCCCAGCACTCGGGAGGCTGAGGCAGGAGGATTGTTGGGAGTTCGAGGCCAGCCTGGGCTATAAAGCGAGCTCAAGGCCAGCTGGAACTGCATAGCGAGACCCTGTTTCAAAAAGACAAAAAAAAAAAAAAAAAAGGCTAAGGCAGAAAGATCAAAATTTTGAGGTCAACCTGAGCAACATAGTGAAACTCCATCAAAAATAAATAAACATAACACATCAAGTCCCAGGTTTGCACAGAGGGGAATGCCCAGGGTCCCCTGCTCCGGGCTGTGGTGGCTGTATCAGGAGGACTTCCCCCCCTCAACCCCACACAAGCACTCCAGTGATGACCCAGGGCTCAGGTGAGGTGACACTCCAAAGATCAAAGGAAGGACAAAGGGCAGCATACCCTTCAAACCTCCAGCCATGGCCCTCACCAAGCAGAAAGGGATTTCAGAGAAGCTGCTACCACAAGCCTCTCCCTGACTGGCCCCTCAGCTCATACGGACCCTGGCCGCCAGCAGCAGTTTTCCTAATAGAAGCCAGGTGTGGGCCAGATGCCCTGGGCGGAAGTGGGGGGCAGGGCTGGGCGGAGGGCGGCATTCCTTCCAGGCCCACTGCCCCCGCACCAGCGGCTGGGAGGAGGGGCGCCCACGCTCTTCCCAGGTCTCCTCACCCGAGCCCTTTCAGGGGACTCCCCACACTCAGATCCTCCCTTGCTCTTCAAGAACACAGAGCCCCTTGGCTGGCAGCCACTCCCGCTCCACCTCAGCCTCACCACCACCCGCCCCTGCTGGAGAAGGGGGAGGGGATGGAAGGAGTGGAAGAAGAAAACACTCAGGGAGCTGGCCCAGCACAGCACCCACCAGGCGGGAGGACAGGTGCCTGTGCACTACCCTAGCCCGGACTTCGGGTAGAGGCGGCTAAGGACTCACTCTCTCTCTCTTTTGTTTTTCTTTTTCTTTTTTTTTTTTTTTTTTTTTGAGACAGGGTCTCACTATGCAGTTCAGGCTGGCCTTGAGCTCACTTTGTAGCCCAGGCTGGCCTCGAACTCACAATGATCCTCCTGCCTCAGCCTCCCAAGTGCTAGGATTATAGGCATGCACTGCCACGCCCAGCTGTTTTTTGTTTGTCTGTCTTTGGAACAGAGACTTGCTATGTAATTTAGGTTGGCCTTGAACTCATGTAGTCCAGCCTGTCCTCAAACTCAGCAATCCTCTTGCCTCAGCTTCCTAAGTACTATGATTATAGGAGTGTGTCACCATGCCCGGCTTTCTCTCTTTGTACCCTAAGCCTTGAAAGTCAGTCAAAGAAAACTATCAAGTGACTCTTAGCATTGGTCCCCACACCACCTGAGACTCAAATGCCCACAGGCCCAGGGGACCACCAGGACACATGGCCATGGTATGGCCAAATTGCTTGGCCAGGCTCTGTTCACCTGTCTTTAGCTGAACAGAGCAGAGCTCCCTTTTCCTTCCTGGCCAAAACCTGCAACTTGCCACATGACTGGGTTTCTGAGGAAGGGGTGCAGGGGCCCCCAGGCAACCAGGTCTGAGCTGGTGGGTTACTCTTGACCCCAAGTGGGGGAGAAGTCCTTCAAATGAGGAGAGGGGCTATGTCCTCAAACACAGCTACTCCCCAGAGCCAGCAGCAGAACCCTACACTTCACCTCTCTGGGGGAAGAAGGCTCAGCTTCTTCAAAGTTTTGGTTTGGTTTGGTTTGGTTTGGTTGGGGTTTTTTGAGGCAGGGTCTCCCTATGTAGTTCACGCTGCAGGCTGGCTTTAAACGCACTATGTAGCCCAAGACGGCCGCAGATTCACAGTGATCCTCTTGCCTCAGCCTCTTGAGTGCTGAGATTACAGGCATGTGCTACCATGTGGAGTCACAAAGTTCTTCTGAGAAGCATAAACCCATTCATCTCGCTGCTTAAAACTCTTTGGTGGCTTCACATGGCCTGCTTTCCCTTGTATCCCTCAGGGAAATCCTGGAATAAGCTCGCCCCACCTCAGGCCATCTGCGTGTGTCCCCCTGACAAAACCCAGGCCTCAGCTCCAAGGCCAGTTGCTCTGGAAATCACTAAACCCTCAAGAGAACCCCCAGCAGTTACCAGCACAAGGCCTGTGTGTCTGGCTCACTGGCTGCTGCCCTTAAAGGTCTCTGTTAGAAGAACAAATGGCTCCCGGGGGCTCCATGTTTGCTGCATGAACCCAGGTGCCAAAACTCTCGGAATTCATATGGGCACGTGGGCCCTGCGCAGACGTAAAATACTACCGTTCTGGGTCCTGTGGGGCTGGCAGCCCCTTGCCACCCCATGGTCCTCCGATGCCTGGGGCACGGGTGAGTAGTTCTTTTTGGATGCTTTGCAGCTGGCCTCTGCACCAGGGACAGGGTGCAGGGGTGAGGGTATCAAGGGAGGGGAGGAAACTGGAATCTCAAATTACCTTCTTGAAGTCATAGACACCTCACCCACTGCTTGTGGGCAGCTTGGCTACCCCCTACCCTGTGATCAAAGCCAGGCCCTGCCAGGACGCAGCACTGTCTTCCCAGAAGGAGATTCTAGCAGCAGCCTGAGCCTGCCCTTCCCCCCAGCTGCCTGTATCCTCACATTTCATGGCAGCTCCGCTTACCCACTACTCATACCACTCACCTGAGAGGCCTCAGGCTTTGCTCTGGGGTCAAAGATCTGCAGCTGCTTATCCTGGAAAATCGGGAGGAGAAACAGAGCATGCGGTTAGAACCAGCAGATCCCTGGCTTGGCTCCCCACCCCAGGTTCCAATCAGCCTGTGCCCCAATACTCAGGGCTGGCGCTGCACACCAGGAGGTGTCTCCCCAGCCCAGGTCCTGCTTCTTCTTCCTCATGCAGGCGCAGGTCCCCTTCCTGCCCAGTCACCCAGAAGAGAACATGCAGAACCAACAGCCCACGCTCCTGAGCACCGGCCATGAGCCAGGCACATCACACACACAACCTTCCCTCAGCTCTCCAAAAACCTTATGGAAGGATGCCATCACCATGGCCCCTTTACAAGCACAGAAATGGGGGTCTACGCCTGGTGTCCTTGCCATGAGGACAGAGGAGCTACGGCGGGACCCCGGGACCCCTGCCCTGGCCATGCAGGCCGCAAGGAAGGCTCAGTGCTCTCCTGGAGCGCGCTGGCAGGAGCAGGTGGCCGCCTCCCTCCCGGGGGAATGATTCTCACTCCCAGCCATGCTGGTCCCAGGCAATGCGGTGCTACCTAGACAGTCTTCCCCACCCCAGCCAGGTCAGCAAATCAAGGACAATCCGCCTGAATGCCACCATGGGAGAGATGATGTCTTGGTTGTACCCTTTGTGGTTTCACTTTGTATTTAAGCAAACAAACAAATAAAGGAAATAAACTTGAAAATTATTTGTCATCATAAAAATGAAACAAAAAATTAAAATATTTATTGCCAGGCAAAAAAAAAAACAAAAAAGAAATGGGGGTCTAGAACCAAACTTGAAGCTACAGGCTGCTTCATGTGTGTCTGGTCCGGTGCTAGGCCCAGCCTGGCAAATGAGATGACATCGTTTCTGCACTTAAAGAACTTTTAACCAGGAAGATGTGCTAATACTTCCTAACCATCCACTCAGCGCAGTTACAGGTCCAGCTTAGCCAAGGGCAAGGAGGGATCAAAAAGAGAGGCAGGGAGGATCACTAAGAGTTCAAGGCCCGCCTCGGTTACATAGTGAAACCCTGACTCAAGCAAGCAAGCAAGAAAAAAAAAAAAGAACTGGGGCAGAAATAGGGCAGAGTCTGTGTCCACTATTTATGGGCTTGGCCATAATTGGTGATAATAAATTGTTAAGTGCAAAAAGAAGTTGCAGAATAACATAGCGCAGTGTGATTCTACTGTGGTCAAACTAAACGAAACTCTATTTTGGTGACCACATTCCTGTACATTTAGAAAGTGTGAGGAGCAAGGAGGAAGGTCTTGACCAGCATAGGCCAGTGTGTGAATGCTGGGACAAGGGGTGGGGAATATCGGGGCTGATCAGTATTTTTTTTTTTTTGAGACAAGGTCTCACTATGCACTTCAGGCTGGTTTTGAACTCACGATGTAGCCCAGGCTGGCCTTGACTTTTAAAGTGATCCGTTTGCCTCAGCCTCCCATGAGCTAGGATCACAGGTGTGTGCCACCACGCCTGGCTCAGCATTTTCTTTTTTGTATATTAGCCCAGCTCTACTTTGTTTCAATCAACACAGGCTCTTCCTTTCATATTTTGAAAAATAATGACAAGTTACAATTTGAAATTAAAGACACTACAATTCGTTTTTTGGGTTTTTTTGGTACAAGGAATCGAGCTCACGACCTTGCACTTGCCAGGTAGATGCTGTGCTGCTGAGCGAGCTATACCCCTGGCCCTACAATTTGTTTTATTTAGTTTAGTTTAGTTTTTGTCTTTTTGAGACAGGGTTTCGCTATGTAGTTCAGGCTGGCCTTGAGCTCACTTTGTAGCCCAGGCTGGCCTCAAACTCACAGCGATCCTCCTACTTCAGCCTCCCAAGTGCTGGGATTACAGGCATGTGCCACCACACCAGGCATACAATTTTAATTAGGAGCAAAAAATTGAAAAGCTCAGTTATAAAAAATATTTAAACCAACAAAATATGAGGAAAACTATAAAACTCTGATGAAAGAAACCAAGAGATCTAAATAAATGGATAAATATTCCATATCCATATATTTCTGATATATCATTTCTCTCCAGTTTGATCTATAGGTTCCACATAATCCTAATCAAAATTCCAGCAAATCCTTTTGTGAATACTAAGTGATTCTACAATTTCAATGAAGAAGTAAAAGACCCAGAGTAATCAATACAATATTTTCTTTTCAATACAATATTGCAAGAGAATTAAAAGAGGACTGATACTACCCAACTTTACTAAAAAGCTACCAAAATCTAGGTGTTGATACTGGCAAACTAATAGACAAAAAGATCAATGGACTAGAGTAGGACGCACAGAAAGCACCCACACAAATACAAAGGAACAGGGGCTGGGGATTTAGCTCAGCTGCAAAGCGCCTGCCTGGCAAGCGCAAGGTCATGAGTTCAATTCCTGGTACCAGAAGAGAAAAAAATACAAAGGAACAGAGGCAACACCACGGAGAAAAGGTGGTCTTTCCAACAAATGGCCCTGGACCAACTGGACTTCCAAAAAGACTTAAAAGTAAAGCACAGAACTCTAGAGGATAACATGGGAGAAAACCTGGGTGACCTTAGGTTTGGTTATGACTTCTTAGATACAACACCCAAAAGCATGATCCATGATAGAAAAATGTGGTAAACCATATTTCATTAAAATTGAGCCAGGTAGGATGGCGCATGCCTGTAATCCCAGCACTCAGGAGGCTGAGGCAGGAGGATCATTGTGAGTTCGAGACCAGCCTGGGCTACAAAGTGAGCTCAAGGCCAGCCTGAACTGCAGAGCAAGACCCTGCCTCCAAAAGACCAAAAAAAAAAAAAAAAGACAAAATAAAATAGAAAATTTCTGGGCAGGGGGTAGAATGGCTGGGGGTAGAGTCAGGGTAGACCTCAGTGTTACAGTGCTTGCTCAGCACACTCAAGGCCCTGGGTTTGATCTCCAGCATTGGGAAAAATTTTTGGAAACTGCTTTGTGGAAAACAATGTCAAGCTGGATGTGGTGGTACATGCCTCTAATCCCAGCACTCAGGAGGCTGAGGCAGGAGGATCACCTCCAGAGTTTGAAGCCAGCCCGAGCTATATAGTGAGTTCAAGACCAGCCTAAACTACATAGTAAAACACTGTCTCAACAAAAAAAAAAAGAAAAACACTGTCAAGAAAACAAAACATCATGTAATACACCACATTAACAGAACCAAGGACAAAAACTACACAATAATCTCAATAGACACAGAAAATGCATTTGACAGCTGGGAATATAGCTTAGCAGCATATATGCCTGTCTAGCAAGTACCAGGTCTTGAGTTCGATTTTTGGTACCCCACCCAAAAAAAGAAAATGCATTTCACAAAGTCCAACACACATTCATGATAAAAACCCTACAGAAGGCAACCCACTTGGGACTCCTCCTGTGTCTCAAGAGCTACTCCCTAATAAACTTTTCCTTAAAATAAATAAATAAATAAATAAATAAATAAACTAGAAAGTCTTTAACTCAATCTGATAAACTCCACCTATGACGAACCAATAGACAACATCATACTAAATGGTCAAAAACTGAAAGCTTTCACTCTAAAATAAGGAACAAGACAAGGATGTCCACTGTCACCAGTTCTGTTCAGTATAGTTCTGGAAATATTAGCCAGGGCAATTAGACAAGAGAAAGAAATAAAGGGAATAAGGAGTCAGACACGGTGGCGCATGCCTGTAATTCCACCACTTGGGCGGCTGAGGCAGTAGGATTGCCACACGTTCGAGGCCAGCCTGGGCTACATAGTAAGTTCAGGGGCAGCCTGAACCATACAGTGAGACTGTCTCAAAAAAACAAACAAACAGAAAAGAATAAGGATAGGAAAGGAAAGGAAAAGTGGAAATTAAATTATTATTTGCAGATGACATGATACTCTACATAGAAGATCCCAAAATCTCCACCAAAATGATTCTAGATTTAATGATCAAATGAGTAGCATAGCTGGATACAAAGTCAACACTCAAAAATCAATAGCATTCCTGTACACAACAAACTCACTGAGAGAGAAATTAGGGAAACAACCATTTCACAATAGTATAAAAAAAGAAATACTTAGGATCAATCTAACAAAGGAAGTGAAAGATCTTTACATTGAAAGCTACAGGGGGCTGGGGATTTAGCTCAGCGGCAAAGCACCTGCCTCGCAAGCGCAAGGTCATGAGTTCGATTCCCAGTACCAGAAAAAAAAAAAAAAAGAAAGCTACAGTACTCTGAAAAAAGGAGGATATCAGAAAATTTCAAAAAAAATTTGCAAGATATCTCCTGTTCTTTGACAGGCAGAACCTACATAGTGCAAGTAGCCAGACTTCCAAAATTGTTAAATAGATTGAATACAGTCCTGATCAAAACCAAGAGCATATATCACAGAACTAGAGAACACAACCTTAAAATTCATATGGAACCAGAAGAGACCAAAAATACCAAAAACGATTTTGAGCAGCAAGGACAAGGTAGGGGGCACCACAATCCCCAATTTGAAGTTATACTACAAAGCTACTCTAATAAAAACAGCATGGTACTGGCAAAAAAAGACCCGAGATCAATGAAACAGAAGATACAAAAACAACTCTGAGCACACTCAGCTACCTTATCTCTGACAAAGGGGCCAAACAAGTTCACTGGAAGAAAGATAGCCTCTTTAATAAGTAGGGTTTGTAGTAGCTAAATCTCAGAAACAGTCCAAATATCTATCAACTCATGAATGGATAAAGAAGATGTGGATTTTTTCTACACAGAGTACTACTCTGCCATAAAGAAGGATAAGCTTGAGACATTTCCATCTAAATGGATGCATCTTGAGACCATACTCTTAAGTGAAATAAATCAGACACACATGTATAAATACTGCATTGTTTCTCTGGTGTGAGAAACCACAGGTGTAAACAAGGACCAAAATATATAATAGATATTGGGAAATGGGAAGAAAATGTTCAAATGAGAAGGGGAACAAGGGAAGAAGGAGAGGTAAGGAAAGAAGGGACAAGGAAAAATGGAAACAAAGCTTTTGTAAATAAGGAGGGAAAGAGGGGTTGAAGAGAGGGGAGGGGAATGGGAAAAATAAGAAGCAAGATATATCATGTACAGGTACAAATTCTCTATGATGAATGTGAATGTTACCATTTACATATCTAAAATGTACCAATAAAATACCCCCCAATGGTGCTAAGAAAACTGGCTTTCCACATGCCAAAGTTTGAGCCTAGACCCATCTCTCTCACTATGCCCCAAATTAAAATTGAAGTGGATCAAAGCTCTGAATATTGAAACAGAAACACTGTTAGGTGTGGTAGTGCACACGTATATTTTTTATTTTTGGTTTTTGGTTTTTGGTTTTTGTCCGGTACCAGGAACTGAACTCATGACCTTGCGCTTGCCAGGCAGGCGCTTTTGCCGCTGAGCTAAATCCCCAGCCCCTAGTGCACACGTATAATCCCAGTACTTGAGAGGCTGAAGCAGGAGGATCACCAGGAGTTTAAGGCCTAAATGCTGTCTAAAAAAACAAGAAAGAGAGAAAGAAAAAGAAACACTTAATCTGCTGGAAGATAGAATAAGTAAAACTCTTGAAGACATTGATGTAGGTAAAGACTTTATGAACAAAACTCCAACTGAACAGGAAATATTACAAAGAATCAACAACTGGGATCATATCAAACTGAAAAGCTTTTGTACAGCTAAAGAAACCATCA